AAATTCAAATGAAATTTTAAAAGAAGTTGCGTACGTGGCGACATCTCAACTAGACTTCTAAAACTATAATTGATAGAAAGTGTATCGATTGCCATGGAGATGGCGCACTAGTACTTATTGTATTTAATCTATATATTCAAAAACCGGGCCTTTAAACTACAATTGCTCCACAGATCTTGCAAGACTCCGTACATTTTGAACTGCCATTTATTCAGACTTCTCAATCAAAAGTTATAGACTAGAAACCAATTTCGAAAGGAAATTCAAAGGGCTGTAACTTTTGAACTAGTAGCCCAATCTTGGAACTGTTTGAAATTATGGATTCTACAGGCCAGGTTCTATAAGAAAATTTTTTTTGCGGGTCGATCTTATACAATTTTTTTTGAGGCCCGAAAAAAAGGCAGTGTACAACCTTCCTTTTTTAGCAAAAATCCACTGCACCAAAATTTCTCGGGAAAACACTGTTTCTTATTAATTTTGGTGCGTAGAATCCAAAACAATTCGTACTTTTTCGATCAGACTTCTCAATCAAAAGTTATAGACTAGAAACCAATTTCGAAAGAAAATTCAAAGGGCTGTAACTTTTGAACTAGACTAGTAGCCCAATCTTGGAACTGTTGGAAATTATGGAATCTACATCCAGTATAGAACTTCCAGAATTAAATAATTATATACCTACCCTTTCCATTAAATGACCTAGCATGACAATAGGTGGGTACCTACCTAACGTCTTATCATGCAAGCCTTAATTACAGCAAGTGTTTGAGATTCCTTTGTGGAATTATTGAAATTGACTGAAAATGAAAAAGAAAACTCTTTTTCAAGAAGATGAAATTCATTTTATTGGTTAGAAATCTATGTGTACATATCAAATCGTTGTATAGTATTGACATAAAAACTATAAAATGTAGCTCAAATTCAGTGCACGTGCGTTTTGAAGGCATTTGAGAAAGTAATAGGTATCGTAAACCTCGAAGATTTACATGTATCCATTCTTCCCCTCCACATCGTCGATTCCCTTCTAAAAAATTTCAATATTTGATACTGGGAAATGGTCGAAATGGAGATGATTAACAAAAAGGTCATTTTTCGAATATTATACTTATAGCCGATGGGCGAGAACGATAAGCTGGGACATGCAGTCTGGCAAGATTCTCTCTTGACACACATTTTATTTTTGTAACAGAAATTCTTCCTTACTTTTCATTTCCGATTTTGTAAATGAAAAATAAAGTGGCAGAACCGCAACCGGACTCGACGGCGTAGAGGTATTCCACCTCATTATAAAATGTAAAACTGACGCAATTATTACCGGTCTTGCCGATGTAATGCCCATGTCTATACTTTACAATAAATTGTGAAAGTATACGAATTTAGCTCTTTTACTTTAATTGTTATTATATTACTGAATAAACGTGAATGGATTCCCACTTTTTAAGCATCAAATAGTATATCCTGTAACCCTGATCTTACCTTTTTCTCTAAAAAAAAACATTGTTTGCTAATAACAAACAAATTTAAGCTGTTGAAAGCTTCGTATAAACAATTTGAAATATTTACTTTCGCTACTACCACTGAAAAGTACACTATCCCACCCTCTTGGCCAATGTCATTCAAAAAAACGTTTACAAATTATTTCATTTTCTAGAAAATTCGCAATGCTGTTATACATATCCAATAAACAAATGCAAAAATAATTTCTTGCAACCCCTTGAGTCACATAGAAATCCACCCCCAAACCGTTTATAAAATTAATACGACAAAACGCGGGTGGTCATCACTTTCTAGTTTGTGCAGAAAAATACTGCTGTACATATCCAATAAACAAATGCAAAAATAATTTCTTGCAACCCCTTGAGTCACATAGAAATCCACCCCCAAACCGTTTATAAAATTAATACGGCAAAACGCGGGTGGTCATCACTTTCTAGTTTGTGCAGAAAAATACTGCTGTACATATCCAATAAACAAATGCAAAAATAATTTCTTGCAACCCCTTGAGTCACATAGAAATCCACCCCCAAACCGTTTATAAAATTAATACGACAAAACGCGGGTGGTCATCACTTTCTAGTTTGTGCAGAAAAATACTACTATACATATCCAATAAACAAATGCAAACATAATTTCTTGCAACCCCTCGCGCCACATAGAAAACCACCCCCAAACTGTTTATAAAATTAATACGGCAAAACGCGGGTGGTTATCACTTTCTAATTTGTGCAGAAAAATACTGCTATACATGTCCAATAAACAAATGCAAAAATAATTTCTTGCAACCCCTTGCGTCACATAGAAATCCACCCCCAAAGTGTTTATAAAATTAATACGGCAAAACGCGGGTGGTTGTCACTTTCTAGTTTGTGCAGAAAAATACTGCTATACATGTCCAATAAACAAATGCAAAAATAATTTCTTGCAACCCCTTGCGCTACATAGAAATCCACCCCCAATGTGTTTATAAATCGAATACGGCAAAACGCGGGTGGTTATCACTTTCTAATTTGTGCAGAAAAATACTGCTATACATATCCAATAAACAAATGCAAAAATAATTTCTTGCAACCCCTTGCGCCACATAGAAATCCACCCCCAAAGTGTTTATAGAATTAATACGGCAAAACGCGGGTGGTTATCACTTTCTAGTTTGTGCAGAAAAATACTGCT